ACCTCCTGAGTAGCTGGGATTACAGGCACGCATCACCATGCCCAGCTAATTTTTGTATTTTTAGTAGAGACAGGGTTTCACCATGTTGACCAGGATGGTCTCGATCTCTTGATCTTGTGATCCACCCGCCTCGGCCTCCCAAAGTGCTGGGATTACAAGCTTGAGCCACTGCGCCCGGCGAAACAAATTTTTTTAGAGACAGGGTCTCCCGATGTTTCCCAGGCTGGTCTCAAACTCTGGGACTCAAGTGATCCTGTTGCCCCGGCCTTGCAAAGCACTGGGATTACAAGTGTTAGCCATAGTCCTCAGCCTAAGAAAAATCCGCTTAAACATTTCATATGTAGTCATTTTATATTTCATATCTAATATTTCAATATCTGAATCAATTGGGAAGTCTGTTGATTTTGTGTGTGTACATGTTTGTATGTGTGTGTGATGCTGCATTTATGGTGACTTGTTCGTAATATTCTTGGCACTTTAATTTTCTTTTTTTTTCAGACAGAGTCTCACTCTGTTGCCCAGGCTGGAGTGCAGGGGCACAATCTTGGCTCACTGCAACTTCCATGTCCCCAGTTCATGTGATTCTCCTGCCTCAGCCTCCTGAGTAGCTGGGACCACAGGAGTGCGTCACCAAACACAGCTGATTTTTATACTTTTAGTGGATATGGGGTTTTACCATGTGGGCCAGTCTGGTCTTGAACTCCTGAGATCAAAGCAATCCACCTCCTTGGGCTCCCAAAGTGCTGGGATTACAGGCATGAGCCACAGTGCCTGGCTCTTGCCATTTTTAAATTTTTTTCTTTTTTTGGAGACAAAGTCTTGCTGTGTCGCCCAGGCTGGAGTGCAGTGGTGAAATCTTGGCTCACTGCAACCTCCACCTCCTGAGTTCAGGCAATTCTCTTGCCTCAGTCTCCTGAGTAGCTGGGACTACAGGCGAGTGCCACTATGCCTGGTTAATTTTTGTATTTTTAGTAGAGACGGGGTTTGCCCTGTTGGGCCAGGCTGGTCTCAAACTCCTGACCTCAAGTGATCCACCTTCTTTAGCCTCCCAGAGTGTTGGGATTACAGGCATGAACCAATGTGCCCAGCTGGCATTTTTAATTTTTTTTTTTTTAAGACAGGGTTTCACCATGTTGGCCAGGCTGGTCTTGAACTCC